ACCAGAAAACCAGACAGATCTTCCCCTACATAAAGCTGCAGATCCAAAATACTCTAAAGCATATTTTTAAACGGGTGTACTTTCAGATGGGACCATTTCCTCCATGATTTTCCAAAGGGCAAGTCCACACCGGAAATCTATGCATTTCTTGAGCAACAAAATGCCAATGAACAGAGCCGAGGTTATATTTCTATCAACTTAGACCAACTTGCTTGAGTGAATTCTGACCCTATTGTTCATTTCCCAGCTCCAGTGAGCCCATTAGTTGTTCCAATGGGACTGATGACGTAGGGGAAATGAAATGTGGCTGAAGAGAAAGAAAATAGGCTTTGAAGCCAGTTCATCTCCAAGCTTTTACACTCTCTGTCTTGATAACTTTATACAAGTGATGGAGCCTCCGAGGGTCTCAGAGCTTTCTCATCTGTAAAATGGGTGTAAATCACCCACAGGCTGTTGTGGGTGTAAATGAGATGATGCCTGTCCACGTGCGCGTGGCCCACGTTAAGTAACTACTTCATAAATGGTGGCTTCGGTTGCTGCTCCTATTATCACCATGATCATCATCCTCAGTAAGTGAAAGCAGGCAAGCCTCAAGAATCTTTGTCATCAGTGCTATTGGCATCTCTATCGACCACAGAATCAGAAAGCAGAAGTTAAAAGACACAGACGTAGAGAATGGTCTTGAGGACACGGGGAGGGGGAAGGGTAAGCTGGGACGAAGTGAGAGAGTGGCATGGACTTATATACACTACCAAATGTGAAACAGATAGCTAGTGGGAAGCAGCCGCATAGCACAGGGAGATCAGCTCGGTGCTTTGTGACCACCTAGAGGGGTGGGATAGGGAGGGTGGGAGGGAGACGCAAGAGGGAGGGGATATGGGGATATATGTATACATATAGCTGATTCACTTTGTTATACAGCACAAACTAACAATACACTGTAAAGCAATTATACTCCAATAAAGATGTTAAAAAAAAGAAAACAGAAGTTATCTAAAGATAAAGGAGAAAAAGCAAGCAAAAGCAGAAGCTGGAAGGCCTATAAATAACATAAAAATCTAAAAGGTATAAGAAAAAAAAAAAAATCACAAAGCAGTGCCTCCCCAAAGATTTTCTTTAGAGTCTCATTATAGGTGTTTATGGGACACTGGAACATCACTCTGATGCTTTCCTAGGGGATCTATCATGTGGGCTTAGGCTAACCTTAAAATGAGGCAATCTGGGTACTTAATAAACTGTCTGAAAAGGGTCCAAGGCAGTTCGGCATTATACTGAATTCCTTCATGGAGCACAGCGCCATGTGAGGGTATTCCACCATATTGTAGATGGCTAGTAGTGAGTTTGCATATGATATGAGGTAATATATATAAACAGTGACAGGCTATGTGATAATTATTTAAGTTGAAAAAGAGCCCTTTTAAAAGCATAGGTGGAGAAAGGGAGGGCAAACTTTGCAATTGCTTAACAAGCCAACCACGATTTATTATCTTTCACTAAAAGGAGTCTTCGCATTTGGAGGTATGATTTTATGGTCCATACTTCATTCAAATTGTAACATTCACTCAAATTAGTAACATTCAAACTATAAAGGGTCCACAATAATTGCATAAACATTCTACAATTCATTTTGGAAAAAAAAAAAAAGATTTGACTTTTACTTCTCCTATGCTTTGAAGGCCGGTATTTTAAATTTCCTTTTCTCATTTCTACCCAATCATTAAACCAGACCTGATCTCCCTGCTTCAAAAAAAAGCGACTTCCCTCATGGCGCAGTGGTTAAGAATCCGCCTGCCAATTCAGGGGACACGGGTTCAAGCCCTGGTCCGGGAAGATCCCACGTGCCACGGAGCAACTATGCCCATCACCACAACTACTGAGCCTGTGCTCTAAAGCCCGCGAGCCACAGCTACTGAGCCTGCGTGCCACAACTACTGAAGCCCGCACGCCTAGAGCCCGTGCGCCGCAACAAGAGAAGCCACCGCAATGAGAAGCCCACGCACCACAATGAAGAGAAGCCCCCGCTCCACAATGAAGAGAAGCCCCCGCTCGCCGCAACTAGAGAAAGCCCACGCACAGCAACGAAGACCCAACGCAGACAACAAATAATTAATTAAAAAAAAACCCACCCTGAGAAAGAATATTCCATGGAATACACATACACATACATGCATGCACAAAGATACATTCATGCACACGTGCACACACAGTAAAGGAAGATGATGAGGTACAAAAGAAATCATTGTATGATAATAGTCTTGAGCCATAATTAACAGTACAGAATTCCAAATAACAAGGTAAACCACTTCCAGTGCCAAAACCTAATCCATGGCGTAAGATATTTTTGTTGCTGCAATAGTCTTTTCCAGAGGACACAGGGTATTTCTGGGTGACTCACCATGCATTTATCCAATGAAACAATTATTTAACTATTCAAGAAATGGGGTCCCAATGCAGAGGCAGGTAATCTGGAGGACACAGTTTCTACATACTACGACCTAGTTTTAGAAGTGCTGTATTGAGTTATTTAGGAGGAAGGAAAGTTCATTTATGAGATCCCCATCCGCACACTGTTTTGTGAAGCTCTGCCCCAAGTAACCTTCGCCATTCCCCCACCCCCACCCCCCGTTCTTCCCCTAGCCACATCCCTGCTCTGGAGTATTCAATGGAGGAGAAAGACCCTGTCTCAAAGTTCTTACCCTGTTCTGTTCAAGTTCACAAGGCAACACATTTATTCAGCCATGTCTACAAAATGCATCACAGGAAATGGAATCAGAACCTAACCACTCACTTAAACTAACATGTGCACCAATCAACTTCCTGTGTATCAGCCAAGGGGCCATTACTCCCATCAAGCCCAGCTGAGACCGCACCAGGCCTGTTCATAAGCGACTTGCCAATTTCAAGTCCAGCTGAATTCTGAAAGCTGAGCTTCGCTGCTAAACACTGCCAGATGGTTGAAGGAAATGTGGTGGGTTCCAAATAGAAATGGTAGAAATGGCCGCCTCCTCCATGACCAAAAGGATTCCACCATATTGCCCAAGAAAATGCCTGAGACACTTGTTTGGTTTATCTCCAAAGCACCAAACAAACCAGGTCCATCTAATCCTCAGGATACCTCTGTGTGAGCTCTA